CTCATAAATATAGAAAAACAGCAAAATATTTAAAACAAATTTCATTCTCTTTTTCTTAAAAGGAAATTAAATGGAACTCACAACATTTTCCCAAATCATTTGTGAAAGGTGTTTGGCAAGGAACTTGGTGGGCATTTGTTACTATGACAACTGTCGGGTAAAATCTTTTAAATTTAGCAAATAACATAATATAATTAATACTTTATCTTTAATAATATAAGCAAACAAAACATCAGTATCATCACTTGAGTATAACCTTGAGTATAAACAATCTTTAAAAAAAAAGACTCTAACAATACATTGTGGTTTTGTAGGGAAAAAAAAAAAAGGTAAAAAAAAAAAAAAGAGTTTTTTTTCTAAAATAACATTTTTAGAAATAAAAATGGGTCAAAATTTTAACTTTTTTTAAAAAATTGATTATATACTGTGCATTTACATATCTAATTGTGGTCAGTAAAAAAATAGTTGTAAAAGTTAATGTGCCTTCAGTTTTATAACTAACCCAAAATTAAATGGTAGGTACAATATCTTTGAACAAAAAAAAAATAAAAAATATAAATATATAAATAAAATAAAAAGACATTGAAAGTAGAAACCAGTTCACTGAACTAGTTTTATATACTTTTTTATATACGTTTTATAGAACTTTTCTGCTGCTGGAACCAGTGAAAACGTATTGCAACTATGACAAGAGGATAGACAATTTGTGTTATTTTTGATAATATTACAAATTTAATTTCTTAATTTTATTCCTCTAAAAATAGATATATTACAAATTTTATTTCCATATATGATTCCTCTAAAACAGGATATTTCTAAACATTATTTCTCTAAAAAGATGAATTTTATTTATATTTTGTGAATGTAACTTTTAAAAGTTTGTAGATTTGTAAAAGTTTTGAGTTTTGTAACTCAAATTTTTTTATTACAGAACAATTTTAAAGAAATTGTAAAATTACTTGTTTTACTGAATGAAAAACATTAACTTTGAATCTCTACCAGTAAAGCAGTAATAAGCATGAGTCAGACTAATGCCTAGGTTTTTTGAACAAAGAGCTCATTCATTTAAAAGCTATAGTTCATTCAGATTTTTTACTTTATAAATTGAAAAAGTATTTAATTCATAAAGGATTTTTTTAAACTTATCAAATCTCAGAAAACAAACTTACAATTCTAATTTTACACTAATGCACATTTCATTAATCTAGATTTTAAGTCTTTGATTTTCAGCCAAAGTGTCTTTATTTCAAAATCTAATGCTGTCTCAATTGAACATTTTTAGAAATAAAAATGGGTCAAAATTTTAACTTTTTTAAAAAAATTGATTGTATACTGTGCATTTACATATCTAATTGTGGTCAGTAAAAAAATAGTTGTAAAAGTTAATGTGCCTTCAGTTTTATAACTAACCCAAAATTAAATGATAGGTACAATATCTTTGAACAAAAAAAAAATAAAAAATATAAATATATAAATAAAATAAAAAGACTATGAAAGTAGAAACCAGTTCACTGAACTAGTTTTATATACTTTTTTATATACGTTTTATAGAACTTTTCTGCTGCTGGAACCAGTGAAAACGTATTGCAACTATGACAAGAGGATAGACAATTTGTGTTTGATATCATTAAAATTCTAATAACTTAATCAAATCCTAACTTTTGAATTATGTAGTTTCCACATCAACTAATGTAGTTTCATAGCTGCATAACTACATCAAGCACAAAGCTATATTGCTTAGCATACTTAAAATTAACAATATGCTGATATCATTAAAATAATAACAAAAAACAAGGAGAAAAGACCTCTAAAATTTAAATCCTCTGCATAAAAATTATAAAAAACTTTAAAAATATCTAATAAAAAATTTTTTCAGATTTTTTAATTTTTAAGGTGTAAATCACTTTGTATTATCCAAGCTTGGAATTCTAGCAATGTTGACAAACTAAGTTCAACCACTTTGGACATATTTCAAAACTACTTTAAACAATTCAAAACCACTTTGTATTCTACAAGCTTGTACAATTCTAGCAATGCTGACTAATTATTTTCTATTGTAAGCTAAAAATATAATTTAATAAAAACAAACATTTTTTTTTTTTTAATTAGCTACGGCGATATTGCACCACGAGGGTACTTAGGAAGAATATTTGGTCTTTTTTGGATGATCTGTGGTGTGGTATTAATCTCAATTTTAACTGGTGCAATCTCAACAGGATTGATTGTAGCTTCCCTTTCTGACCCGATAGATCTCCACATGGAAAGTGTAAGTTAATTTGACATTTTAAAAAGCAACAATTTTTTTTAAAATTTAAAAACAAATAAAAATTCAAATATTTTTTACTATATTTTCGTTTTTATTATGATTATTATTTTTATTTGTTATTTTATTTAATAATTTTGTTTTATATTCAAAATGTCTAACAAAAAATACTAATTCTACAAGTTAAGAAAAAATCTTTTGTTGTTAAAAATATTAAGTAAACAGTTATTTGTTGCTTCAAGCTGTAAAAAGAAAAGAAAAACTTGAACATTTGATTTTAAATGAAACAAAAGACGAAACTCAAATATAAAAAGCTTATTTAAAAAACAAGAATAAAAATTTATAAAATGCAAGCCTTCCCAGAAAATGTGTGCAGCTTCTGGAAAGGCTATTCTTTTGTCCACTCATAAGTTTTTAATTTTAGACAACTTGGTCAAAACCACTTGCAGTTTTTCTATATTAAGTGTTTCGATAGTTTGGGGAAAAAACTAAGTTGCAAAAACAAAGAAAGCAAAATTAACAAAATAGTTAATTAATATAAATTTCAATAGAAAAAAAGAATAATTTAAATAATTCACGTATTATTTTTCTTTTTTTAAGGTGGTTGTTATTAAATTTAGTATTTCAAGAGATTGTTTTTTGTAATATATAAAAAATAAAAATGCGAATTTCATAAGTGCAAAACAGTTACAAAAACTGGCACAAGTTCAAACTGGCATATGTGAATCTGGTATAAGTGTACCAAAAGAATTTGCATACATTGACATAAGTGCAAACTCTTATAAGTGCAAAGGGGTAGCGAAAACTGGCCCAAGCGCAAACTGGCGTAAGTGCCATATAAACTTGAAACATTGGCATAAGTGCAAACTGGGATAAGTGTGCTGAACAAACTTGCAAACATTGGTATAAGTGCAAATTGGCATTAGCGCAAATTGGGATGAGTGCAAAATGCCAATTTGCTATTATATTAATATTTACAATTTTATTTGCTGCACTTATGTCAATTCACACTTATGCCAGTTCGCACTTATGCCTGTTTTTGTAACTGCTTTGCACTTTTGCTAATTCTCACTTATGCCAATTTGCATTTATACTAATTTTTTCAAATTTATTTGGTGCACTTATAACAATTTGCACTTCTGATATACTTGTTAAATTAACATTTATCATTCGCAACTAGACTCAAAAACCAGTCACTTTAGTGGAACACAAACAGCTGTACAAGCCTCAGAGAAGAAGGAGAAAAGATTATTTTGGAGTAAGAGTTGACTAAAAACTTTTAAAAGGTGTTGGACAGAAGTCCAGTATAAAAGCACAAAATTCAAGCAAAGATTCATTATTAATAGTTGTTTACGTATATTCCACCAATAACATAGTAGACCAAAAGGGGGCCGGTAGAACTAAGCGCACTGAGCCAAATGTTTTATGAATGCTTAACATGCGTATACTGATGAACAATATGTTTATATAATTGAAAAAGCGATGTACATACGTATATATGCATACATTAACAAACAAACATGTGAATGTAAACATATACGGATGGATTACATAGACATAATCATATAGGGATAATATAATCTTTTTACATTAAAAATATACAAATATATTTTACAAATAGATAGCAAAATATATTTTTGCTTGCTTCTTTAAAAAACAAATAAAATATAGGAAAATTAGTTTTAATTTTGATTTAAAACTGTTTTTTTGCTATGACTTCCAATTTTATTGCTAAAAATAACAATCACCCTAAAGTAACAAAAATAAAAACAGTACAAAATTATTTAAATTATTAATTATTGTTTTTTTTATTTATTTAAAATTCCTACTTTGTTAGTTTTGCTTTTTTTATTTTTGAAACTTTTTTCCCGCAAGTATTGAAACGCTTAATATAATAAAAATATTTATATATTTATAATTAAATATATAAATAATATTTTTTGTCACAATTTTTTAGAGTTATTTTTTATTTTACTTCAACAAAACTTATAAATGTTTTTTTTTTTTTTATAATTTTAACAATAATGTGTAAACCCTTAATATCATTAATTTTTTTATATCATTAATTTTAAAATATCTAATCTTAATATCATTAATTTTAAAACCCTTAATATCATTAGTATTTTTTGCTGAGCCCAAAACATCAGTCAAGATATTTTTGGCTAAAAATGTTTTCCAGGTGTATATTTATATTATGTTATTTAATTTTTATACAAATGTATAATTTTAAATTGTATTACAAAATAAAAAATCAGAGTTCTAAAGTAAAACTATAAAAAAATTAGGAACAATACTAAAAAAAAGCTAACGCTAAAAGACATAGATACAAACAATTTTTTTTATAGGTTGGTGCAATTAATCAATCCCCAGAATTTAAATATGCTGTAACACAAATAAACAATGTAAAAGGTTAAAATTATATGTAAACTTATTTTTGCATATTCTTATTTTGATATAACATCATCAGTTGAGTATATATATATATATATAGATATATATACATATGTATATACATATATATATATATATATATATATATATATATATATATATATATATATATATATATATATATATACATATATATATATATATACATTTATATATATAAGTATATATATATATATATGTATATATATATATATATATATATATATATACACACACACACACACACACACACACACACACACACACACACACACACACACACACACACACACACACATATATTTAG